TCTGTTGTTCAGATGCCTGGTTATTGTCTTCCAAACCAACTACTCTATTCTCAACTTAAGAATGGAAAGTGAAATACCAGTGGACAACAAAAGAGGTTTAAAGATGTTCTCAAGGCAAATCTTAAAAAATGTAGTATAAGCACCGATAACTGGGAAACATTGGCTTGTGAGCGCTCCAACTGGAGAACAGCCTTTACCAAAGGTGTTGTGGACTTTGAAGAAGCACAAACTCAGGGCAAAAAGGAGAAATGAGCCAAGAGGAAGACACATTTGGCAAACCCTCACCATGATCAACTCCCACCCGGAAACCTATGTCCCCACTGTGGAAGGACATGTGGATCCAGAATTGGCCTCCACAGTCACGTATGGACTCACTGTTAAGACCGTGTTCATGGAAGACAATCTTACTTGGCTACGAGTGATCGCCAAAGAAGAGAAGAAGAAACATTTGCAGACTCATAGTATTCACTGGATTGATTTGCGTTCCAGACATGAGACAAATAAACAAACACTGGTAATTTTCATCCTCATTTCCATTTATGTCTAAATTCTCTGACATCCCTAGTCAAGAGAGACATAAAGAGATCCTTTCTTCAGAGTTTTCTAATAACTAGTGAAACTTAGACAAAACATCTTTGCAAGCTATGTGCTACAAACAGTAGTAACGCTAATGCAACTTAGTAGTACTGGTGGACTCAGGCACTGTACCAGTGAGCTATTTTATCATGCTAGATTTTTATTTGTTTTAGAACATGTTAAATAATCTGAACCTGAGGGAGCTGTGGGTTACATATTGAAATAACTACATTACTCATTTCTTCCAAGAGATCAATGTTAATACATCAGAATTTTGACAGGTTTCTATGCTTTCAAACTAACAGATGTTAGGAAAACAACTCAAAGGATTAGATACTCCTTTGGTGTAATATGACAGCAATCCAGTTAAGGCAATTTATACTCTGATTTACACCAGTGGCAGAGATGACCCTAATACTGTGTTATCGATCTGCCTTTAAAACCCACCCAATGACATATTCTGCCGTCCCATCCTCTCACACAACTCCTGGAGTGTAAGCTGCAGTCATAATCATGCTTTCTCTTTAAGAAATGCAAATCAATATTAATTAAAATTAGACAAGGATTTGTGATTCAAGGGGTCCCTGTATTCAAAGGACATAGCAGCCATTAAATAAATTTTAAGACTTATTACTTAAAAGACTTTTAAAATGAAGTCAATGCATTGTACGTCCTAAGGGAAACTTCCAGGTCTCTGTACCATGGTAAAACATTAAATTATAGGTGCCACAATCAAAGCCAAACACAATTAAGAATCAAGTGTTTAAATGTTATGTGTCACTCTCTAAAGAATCTATATTAGAACATTTAATTAAAACTTTTTAAATAAAAGAATTCCATAGTGCGAGTTAAAACTGAAAATGGGCCCTTGTTTTGCTCTTATTGAACAACCTGCATATTAAGAGCTCCATGCCTCTCCTGTTCATTATCATGAAGGCAACATTTGCATTTCTTGATAGACTATTCCTGTTTCTTTACCCCCTTTTTTCCCTTGTCTTACATCAGTCAGTGGAAAGAGTGCCACCACAGGCCATCATTAACCTTCCAAATCTGCCTCAAAACAAATAGTACAAGAGCTCACTAATTTGAAGATCAAAAAGCCACTTGTCCATTATATAATTGGAATGAAAGGCAAAATGTTGCCGTTCTGAAGAGCATAGTAATTACTAGCTGTTAATTGCTCTCTCGTGGTGGCTCACTTTTAATTAAAAAGAACAGCTCGTCGCAGGCCGATAAGCAATGGCGGAGACCACTGGTTTAATCAACAAAGCAGAAAAATTCGTTTCTGCTGTGGCCAACAACAGCTTGAGAAATCTTCAGATGTCCAATTGAGATTAAAAACTGTCTATTTAGTGCAGTCAGATTTTATTTTAAACCAAGGAAATGACTATTTGAAGCCTTCCAACACGAGTGTCCCCACTACATCCCCGCTGGTGCTCGCAGGGACTAATCGCTTGCTTGTGGTTGTGATCACTCAAGTAAAGAAATTTAGCTACTTTCCTCTTGACTCCATCATTCTTGGGTAATTGGCCTGTCTGAGGTGAGCACTTCTTTTTTTAAGGAAAAAGAAAGAAAGAAAAGAAAGTGCTTTAAAGTATAGAAGGCCCACAGACTGTGCATTTAATTACTGTTCATATTTCATGCAGTCAAACAGAATTTCATTTAAGAAGAAAATGATTTACCTATCTTTAAAAAGCCTTCATATGCATGGCTCTGAGTTCCGCACCCCCCCTCTTTTTACCATCCTATTTACATGCCAAAAAAGAGAGGAAAGCATTCAGAACATCAGTGTTAATACTTTAAGAAGCTTCTGTCTTTTTAATCTGCACCACACATAAGCGACAGCTATCTTTAAGGCAAATAATACTACATTTCAGGATAACAGTTTATTTAGTTAAGCAGGACTGCATCTCAGTTAAGTGGGGCTATTTTCCCCCCTAGTCTGTCTCATCTCTCTCCAGCAGCGAACAGTTATGTCCATAAACAGCTTCAGTACACATACCCTTTCATTTGTAACCCACTGGGTTCCTGGAGGTATTTTGCATTTGGCCCTCTGCTGTTCAATATTTATGTGCTTCTGCTAAGTGAAGGTTCTGCTTCATATCTGAGAAAGCAGCATACAAATGTGTGCATGTCTAGCACTGCTGGACCACAATCCAATACTAAGTTAGATGTGCTTCAGCCCACTCAGTTCAGTGGATTTAAGCATTCCCATGTTTACATTGTGACCAAGTATTTCTGCTTGCTCTTCCAGCCTTGGAACAAGTATGCAATAAGAACGTAAGAACAGTCATACTGCAACTTTTTTACAGTATAATGTAAGAAAGAAATAATTCTGAGTTTCTAGGCACCAGATATTGCTTAACATTTTTTGCCTTCTTGCTGTTAACATCTGCTAACATATGTAGTAGTTCACTGCTATAAAATGATGGGCATGGATAAACTTTTATCACATAGTAGGTATGATCCAGCAAAAGCTAACCACTTTTAATTTCCTTTGGTTTTAGAAGTAGATTTAGGCTGCAATGCATTATACATTTACATTGGAGTAAGTCCCAATTAACTCAATGGGGCTTGCTTCTGATTAAGCAGGTACAGAATTGCACTACGAAGTATTAAGTTGAATTGGGCAATCCCATGCCTGCCTGTTCAGAAGCAAGCCTCAATGAGGTTAATGGGTCTTACTTCCTGGTATGTGCGTATTTGCCACAGGAAGTTTCAATCCTAAATACGTTTAGGACTATGCTTTGCATCTGTACCCTTGATATCAGTACACCTTAAAAATGCTTGACATTGACCAGATGCCCCTTATTTCATTTTGTATGAAACTAATCAAACACCAGTACAGCCTGTAAAACAGGTCTTAGGGTGTAGTTGACCCTACTGGAATTAATACTATGGCTAGTTTAACTGATTAAACAAATCTGCATATTACCAATAATGCAATATAAGTGTATTTTGGGTTATAATGAAGGAAAGAAATGCAACAAATTAATAATGAAAATAATCACTTGTAGTTAGAATAAAAAGCTGTACAGTGGTACCTCGGGTTACAAACGCTTCAGGTTACAGACGCTTCAGGTTACAGACTCCGCTAACCCAGAAATAGTACCTCTGGTTAAGGACTTTGCTTTAGGATGTGAACAGAAATTGTGTGGCGGCGGCACGGTGACAGCGGGAGGCCCCACTAGCTAAAGTGGTACCTCAGGTTAAGAACAGTTTCAGGTTAAGAACGGACCTCCAGAACAAATTAAGTTCTTAACCCGAGGTACCACTATATTTCATATTTTTCCTTCCATTTAACACACCATAACCTTTACAATTTCAAGCAAACAAAAACAAACAGCTGTCAAGCTCCTGCTTCAAATCCCTCCTCAGTCATGGCTTGTCAAAGGACCTCAGGCAAAACCACAATCTCCCCACCTTAATCCCTAATTGCAAATATGGGTATAACAGTACTGGCCTGTCTTGCATGCCTGTTGTAAAGTGAAACTTTCTCCACATTGCATTACAAGTTATTGTTGTATGAATGTTCTCTGGCTAATCATAATAGCCCTCTCTAGTATTTTAAGTAGCTTGGCATGAGGGTGGACAGAGCCCTGACTCTGATGCCAAATCCTGAAAAGGTAGGTGTTACGTGTTTCAAGTGTTTGAATCTGGGAGGTGGGGCTATGTCCTGTTCCAGATAGAGTTGCTTGAATATGGAAACAGGATGAAGTGAACTTATGGAAATGTGAGAAAGTACATAGGCCAGATTCACCCATCCTTAATGGAAAGTCCCCTCTGTGTTAGGCATGACTATGTTATAGGAACTGCCCATTGAGTCTGCGATCCAACAACCTATGGAGGGCATAAGCAGGTTGGGGAATGCTGGCCTACTATCAGATGCAAAGAGTGACTTCTTCTTTCTAAATGAAACCATTGCCTTCATAAGATTCCCTACACACACACACACCTCTAAGTCCACTCAAAACATTTGGACTTCCTTCATTCTTGACATCTGCACAACTGGGAACTACGGTAATCTGACCTGATTTTTTAAAAAATACAAAAAAATCCCATTCAATGTTCCCATCTGAATCTGCATCCTCCTACGCCCGCATACCACTAGATAACGCCAACTTGCAACAATGTGTTTATCGGCAGACTTTTCTGCACATTCATTTTCCTGTGTTCATTCATGCCAGCCTGTTCGCCTGCTCTGACTGCACCCAAACATGATAACTCTGTGACCTCTTATGTTCGCTTTGTGATAACGCAGCCTGTGAAGAAATGTTTCTCTTCTCCCTCCCTTCCCTCCCCACTTTCTCCTGCTACCAATCTTCAGTCAGCACCTGTCACCAGAGAGAGTCTTGACTTTCGCAGTTTTCTCTTAGTTCTCTATGCTTCCCACCCCCCACCCCGTTTTCTTTCTCTTTTTTTCTGCCCAGGCTCGTTTTAAGGTTTATCAGAGGAAACACTTGCACTCCGAAGGATGGCCTCCACACTGTGACAGATTAATCCAAGTTGAGTGAACTTCCTTAATACAGAGGGCTCTAATTATTATGAAGGCACTTAGAACACAATGAGAGCTGACATCTGACAGACCATTCTCTGCCAGCTTGGCATTGTCTTACTGTCAGGCTCTGTCAGTTCCCAGCCTTAATTACATCCTGTTTACAAACATTAGGCCTGACTTCAGATGAAGTCTTAACAAAGGTTGACAAAGGTCAGGGTCACATCACAAGGATGTTATCTGTCTGTGTGCTCCTACTGATAAAGGAGGAGGAGGAAGAAGATTGGAGATGATTTGGGGAGACAACTTTGGTAGCAAACAACACACACACACACACACACACACACACACACTTGACAAATCTGAAGTATATGAATGTCTGCAGACTAAGGTGAGCCAAGGACACATTTCTTTCCGACTATGGTCATCTCAAAGGAAATGTCACTGGATGCATGTCTGGCCCACTAGAGATGAATACTGAATACAAGTTGCTGGAAACTACAGGAGGGGAGAATGTTGTTGTGCTCAGATTCTGTTTGCATGCTTCCCATGGGTTGGACCACTTAGGAACAGGATGCTGGAGTAGATGAGTCGCTGGCCTCTTCTTATGCACTTATGCTGTGGTTCAAGGCTGTCTATAAAATGGCAAGCTGTGACCTCAGAGAAGCTGAGCCTATGGCAAACATGGGGGTGGGTAACTGAGTCATTTGCAACAAAGACGTTCTGCAATATCAGGTCCCAGATGAATGGAAATAACTGATCATATTTCATAGGCTTTGTGGAGGGAAGCAAAACCCAGGGATCAGGGAACCTAGGCATAATAAAAGACCCCCAAACTCCCGGTACCTCAACAGCTGCCATCATCTACCATTTACACCAAAGCTGGTAGGAAACCTGATGTGCAAAGAGCCAACTGGACCCCAAGGTTCATGGGGTGTCCAGAAAAAACCAGAGGCCCCTTTAATATAGGGAGATTTGAACTTCAGTAACCTGAATCCATTGGTACAGTTTGAGCATGGAATCCATCTCCCAGACACAGTCTTGTAAGAATTAGACAAGTTAAAATCAGGCTTTTTAAAGGCAACCAGAGTTTACAGGCTTGAAAATAGTAAAAAGTTTAAGGAAAAAATGGAACATTTCAGAAGAAAAGTTCTTACACATCTACTTAACTTGAGCTGCATCTGGCCAAGTGGGATCTACCTTCTCAGAAGAAGAAAAAACAGGGTTTTTTAATATTAAAAAATCATTGCATTCTTAAAAGGGGAAATAAAAACCTCTCCTAGAAAATGAGATGCCCAAAAGCAGTAGCGCTCAGGAGGAAGTTCTGAATGCTCACTAGGAGCACTCTGCAAATAACTCATCAATCTCTCCTTTAAGTCTTCCTTTTGAAGGAGAAGCAACCAATATAACAATTCCCACGCCTCTTAAAAGTAACAACAGTTTACCTGGAAAGGGAGGGCAATAATCTTATTTTACATGTGCAACAAGCCTTTCTTTTTGTTCCTGTTATCTCTCTTGCTCCCAGAAACTAAATACTGTGTGAAAGGCTATCAATGGCAACTTGTCACAATGGGTATGTTCTACCTCCAGTCAGAGGCAGTATGCCGCAGAATGCCAATTGCTGGGAATCACTGATGGGGAGAGTGCTGCTGCACTCATGTCCTGTGTTTGGGCTTTTTGTGAGCATCTGGTTGGCCACTTTGAGAACAGGATGCTAGACTAGATACGCCTTTGGCCTAATGCAGGTTCTTTTTATGTTCTTATGACCAAGTAATTTGTGTATCCACAATTTTTACTCAAATGAAAGCAGTCTGTAGAACATGCAACATAATCCTGTTCACATTTACTCTCTGAAATAAGTCCTGCTAAGTTCAAGGGGCTTACGCCAAAGTAAATGTACAGCAGACCGCAGCCTTAATTACAAGTGTGTGGGGTTCTTCAATGATTAGGGATAAAAGCACATATCAAATTGATTTCAATATGATATATGTTTGCTGGATTCTGCTCTTTAGCAGCAGACAGCTAGCAAGCAAGCAAGCAATAAAAGGTCTATACTTTAGAAAATCAAATCAAATCAAAAGAAAGGAAAAATAATAAAACCTATGGAATGGAGTTATTGTTCATTCACTTCACAAGTGTTATCAATCATTGCTACAACTCACTCCCCAATCTGAAACAGGTTAGTGCAAGTGGCTGAAGACTATAGAAATACAAAACTAATATTTCACAACAGTTCTGCAACAAGTCTGCGGCACCACACTTAACTAACCCAAACAAGAAAATCCAATTTTAAAGGGAGAAAAAGACTGAAAAATGAAAAGGGGGATTTGTGGCCAGTGTCTTGCTTTGAATCCACCAGGGCCTACATTGTTTTCATTGCTGAGGCATGCAAATGCATAATGGTTTAAATGAATTCTGACATTTTAACTCTCAAAGTCCTTCAGACTGACTTGCTTAATGGCTTCCCTCAGCATTGAGTTATCAAGGCTGACTGAGGCCAGCGACAGAGCAGCTACACAGAAACTATAGAACAGTCAGCAGCATATCTATTTATTTCCTTTTAAAACTTATATCCCACACTTTACCTTGGAATGGGTGGGTTGCAGGGATAAATATGTAATATTTATAAAAGAAAAAAACTTTAAATTGGCAATATAGTAATAGAGCATCTTACCAATTTTCTGCAGTTCAGGAAACCCTCTGCATTAAAAAGATGGAAGAGGCAGATTTTCAGCTGGTGCCTAAAACTAAACAGTGTTGGCACCAGCCAAACCTCCAGGGAGGATGCATTCCAAAACTGGGCTGCTATTAATGAGAAAACCCTTCAGCAGCAGGTCACAGACCCCCCTGAGCTTCCGGAAAGCTGGAATTCAACAGGACCTCCCTTGTAGAGCTAAGGTCATGGGTAAATTGATATGGAGGGAGGGTGATTCTTCAAAGAATTGAGTCCCAAGCCACTTAGGGCTTTGCACACCAAGACCAAAACCTTGGGTTGGGCTTGGTAGTTCATTGGGAGCCAGTACTTCTCTTTAAGAGCTGGTGCAATATGGTCCCTATGTATCAGACTCAACACTAGCACTAGCTGCAACTTCTAGACTGTGTTTGAGGAAAACCCTGTGTAGAGCACAATGTTGTTGTTTAGTCGCGTCTGACTCTTTGTGACCCCATGAACCAGAGCACGCCAGGCACTCCTGTCTTCCACTGCCTGGTCAAACTCATGTTAGTAGCTTTGAGAACACTGTCCAACCATCTCATCCTCTGTCGTCCCCTTCTCCTTGTGCCCTCCATCTTTCCCAACATCAGGGTCTTTTCCAGGGAGTCTTCTCTTCTTATGAGGTGGCCAAAGTACTGGAGCCTCAGCTTCAAGATCTGTCCTTCCACTGGCCAGTGAGCATTCAGGGCTGATTTCCTTCAGAATGGATAGGTTTGATCTTCTTGCAGTCCATGGGACTCTCAAGAGTCTCCTCCAGCACCATAATTCAAAAGCATCAATTCTTTGGCGTTCAGCCTTCTTTATGGTCCAGCTCTCACTTCCATACATCACTACTGGGAAAACCATAGCTTTAACTATACAGACCTTTGTCGGCAAAGTGATGTCTCTGCTTTTTGAGATGCCATCTATGTTTGTCATTGCTTTTCGCCCAAGAAGCAGGGGTCTTTTAATTTCGTGACTGCTGTCACCATCTGCAGTGATCATGGATCCCAAGAATGTAAAATCTCTCACTGCCTCCATTTCTTCCCCTTCTGTTTGCCAGGAGGTGGTGGGATCAGTGGCCGTGATATTAGTTTTTTTTTATATGCTGAGCTTAAGACCATATTTTGCTCCCTCCTCTTTCACCCTCATTAAGAGGTTCTTTAATTGCTCACAATATACCGCCTTATCGTACTCCTTTCCCAATTTTGAACCAATCAGTTGTTCCATATCTAGTTCTAAGTGCAGCTTCTTGTCCCACATAGAGATTTCTCAGGAGACAGATGAGGTGATCAGGCACTCCCATTTCTTTAAGAACTTGCCATAGTTTGCTGTGGTTGACACAGTCAAAGGCTTTTGCGCAATCAATGAAGCAGAAGTAGATGTTTTTCTGGAACTCTCTAGCTTTCTCCATAATCCAGCGCATGTTTGCAATTTGGTCTCTGGTTCCTCTGCCCCTTCGAAATCCAGCTTGCACTTCTGGGAGTTCTCTGTCCACATACTGCTTAAGCCTGCCTTGTAGAATTTTAAGCATAACCTTGCTAGCGTGTGAAATGAGTGCAATTGTGCGGTAGTTGGAGCATTCTTTGGCACTGCCCTTCTTTGAGATTGGGATGTAGACTGATCTTCTCCAGTCCTCTGGCCACTGCTGAGTTTTCCAAACTTGCTGGCATATTGAGTGTAGCACCTTAACAGCATCATCTTTTACCATTTTAAATAGTTCAGCTAGAATGTCATCACTTCCACTGGCCTTGTTATTAGCAGTGCTTCCTAAGGCCCATTTGACTTCACTATCCAAAATGTCTGGCTCAAGGTCAGCAACCACACTACCTGGGGTGTGCGAGACATCCATATCTTTCTGGTATAATTCTTCTGTGTATTCTTGCCACCTCTTCTTGATGTCTTCTGCTTCTGTTAGGTCCTTACCACTTTTGTCCTTTATTGTGGTAATCTTTGCATGAAATGTTCCTTTCATATCTCCAATTTTCTTGAACAGATCTCTGGTTTTTCCCATTCGATTGTTTTCCTCTATTTCTTTGCACTGCTTATTTAAGAAGCCCCCCTTGTCTCTCCTTGCTATTCTTTGGAAATCTGCATTCAATTTCCTGTATCTTTCACTATCTTCCTCACATTTTGCTTGCCTTCTCTCCCCCGCTATTTGTAAGGCCTCATTGGACAGCCACTTTGCTTTCTTGCATTTCCTTTTCATTGGGATGGTTTTCGTTGCTGCCTCTTATATAATGTTACGAGCCTCCATCCATAGTTCTTCAGGCACTCTGTCCACCAAATCTAAATTGCAATAGTCTAAATGGGAGATTACTAGATTATGGGTCACAGTGGATTGGCTATTCCTGTTCAGGAACAGCCATAGCTAGCAAAATATCTGGAGATGAAAATAGGCACTTTGAGTCATTGAATCCACTTGGGCTTCCAGCAAGACGGTAGAGTCCAAGAGTACTCCTGTGGAATCCAGGACTACAAACCTGTTATTTCAGCAGTGTCCACCAACTTGATTATCAGACATGGGAACCACCAATCCACAGCACCCCCCATCCTGTGGGATTAAGCTTCAGTTCAGTGGTCGTCATTAAGCCTATTACTGCCTGCATACATGGGTCAAACACCTGCACAGCTTCAACCGAATCAGAAGGCATTGAATTAGCTGTTCACTTGATTCCCAGGACCAGGAGAATTCAGATGCACAGTGTCCAACCATTGTCTCTGGTGGCACATTAGCATAGCTTCTTCATCCAGATGTTACCAGGTTAATGTGGGCAACAGCATGGGGAAACTATTCAGTTCTTATCTATAATAAAGCGAGATTACTCACTTGGCAGGCCCATAATAAGAGGCTGTTTATCTGTGAACAGACTAACACACAATACAGGAAAATGAAAGTAACTACAAGAACAAGCTAAGAAGTGGACTCTTAGTGCCAACCCATAATAAACTAAAGACAATATTTAACTCTATCATTACTAATTAATACAGAAAAATCTCCTGCACCACTGCATTTGCAAATGAATCAGACCTAATTTTTTTTAGCATTATGGTTTCCTGTGGCATCAAATTGTTTAAGCACAGAGAGGACTGTATAGTTGGTGAAACAGGTTCTAAGTGTTTCAACATGAAGTCTTGTCTCAATATAGAACAATGCCTAAATTCATGTTGCTGTATGTTTGCTCATTAAATTGTGATATTTTTAGACCGCTCCTTTACAAAACATTCTTAGAATGGCTTACAGGATTTTAAAAAACCCTAAACCAAATTAAAAACAAATGGCAATAAAATGAAAAATAGAATATGACACAGTATAAAAAGTCTAAAAGAGAATATTACACAAAATTGAAAGGGCTGTAGCATACTGTATTTGAAAGGCCTGAGGAAATAGAAAGGTCTCCACCTAGCACCAATAGGGCCTCTCTGCAGAGGGCATTCCTCTGGAAGTCTTATAAGAAGCTGCTGTAGAAGAGGGCCTGTAAAGGCAACATTGGTATTTCTAGGACCAAGGTGAAACTGTTAAGCTCCCTTGTTATTATGATAAGGATGACTTTGTATGGACACTGCATAAAGCTTGCAATAAAGTTTGCACACAAGAGCACCACTGAGTGCACAATAAACTGCCATGTGGAAGTTACTTTGCGTGTCAACGTGGCAGTCGGACTTTTTCTACCTAAGTAGAGAAGATATCTGACTATGTCTTCTGTTCTGCACCAATATCCTAGTCAACATTTTGCAATCTGGCCCTTATCCTTTACACACTCATGAAGAAATCCCATTGCTTGCACTAAGACCTTTCGATGGGCAAGTTGAGGACTAAAACCTGTTCCACTTTATACAACGTAAAATAAATTAATGACTTTCAACTAAATTGTTGTGCTAGCGGAAGGATTAGTGCTAGCACAATGGGACTTTACCCCCACTTTCCCCTGTGTGCACTCCATGCTGCCCCTAAAACTGCTCTGCAAGGTTGGAGGGAAACCCGGATTTTCAGCCCCATAGTTCTTTATTTCAATCAAACAAGCACCGAGAAAAAGTTCCATAATTTTTACAGAAGTATTTAAAATATATGCATTTAATGTTCCAATATTTTATAGTTCTGGAAACACACCTTGTTTTTAATTCCCATGATTTACTTTACTATATCCCTTCTGGTGGCCCTCCATTCAGAATCATCCCCACAACACAATATACGGTAATCATTGCTTTGGTCCATGAAAAAAGATTCATCAATGAAACAAAGTGTCACAAACACACAAGACAATTTTTAGATAAGCTGAGAAGAGGGAAGTTCTCGAAACTACTGGCTTGTTATACATTCAGAGAGAAGATTGCATTCATGAACTGCAACTTGAATTATAGAAATCACATTTGGCTCAGAGGTACTGTATGCCGCTGAAGAGATGATAAGATTGCAGAAAGGCAACCCTGAAATTATCATTGGAGGATGACATTGGAGATATGGAAGAACAGTAATACAAGGCTGTGCACTACTTTCATATGAAATCGATTCAACGTGACAAGCTAAATTTATTTACTTTATTGATTTTAAATTTTACATGTGCGGCAATATAAGTAAATCTTTCATGGTAATTCTAAATCTTGAAACATACTGTAAATAAATAATAAAAAACCGGTGTACAGAACAACCATTTCTCTGGACTTGTAGTGCATTATTCTTAAAGCCCAAGACAATTTTTTTTAATGAATACTTTCAATCTGCCTGAGCCGTCAGCATTTGTATTTGCTTTAGAGTTTGTAGCACATGATGTTTCAAGAATTCCAGTTAGCAATAGTTCTTTAAGGCAAAAGGCAAGTATAAATAAATTGATCCTCTTGTATTGCATAAACAGAGCATAGGATGTAGTTTTGCAGCAAGCGTACTAAGAAACTGCTATCCAATCAAGTAACGATTTAATGTTCTGTGATCAATGAATTGACAGATAAAGCTGGAATGCTGTTCTGCTCAAGGCAACCAAGGATGTTGCCTTATAAAGACAAAATGTTTTCAAAACTGCTTCTGATATTACAGTTTGGCGGCCATGTGTGGCATTGTCTCTTAGAGCGAATTAACATCAGATCTATTTTATTTATTTATTTAGAATACTGCACAGAACCTGCACATACATTAATCATAGCCATTAACAGGAACATCTCTATTCCACATTACTGCAGAACTGTAATACAACATTTATTGGCCTAGTTTGCACATCACGGTAAGCCAAACCATGGCTAACTAGGACTATGCAAACATGCTGGCTCCTCCTCAGTCCTTTAGCATAGTGCAGTGCAGCAGCCAAGCCAAGGTTTGGCTAAGCATGTCATTCAAACCCAGGATTGTCTTTCCTCTTTAACCATGATCAACAGCCAAGGTTTCTCCCATGGTTACAGATTGTGCTTAAAAAGAAGAGACCTTAACCACAATCCTGCGTTTGGACAACATGCCATGCTATACTAAAAGACCCAGGGAGGAGCAAAGTGGCTGCAAGCTCCTCTCTAAGAGCCAGTACATTTGCAGTGTCCTCATAAGCCATGGTTTGGCTTACCATGATGTGTGAACGAGGCCACTCTTACTTCTATAGGAAAATGAATGCAAGCAAATGCCTAGCATGAGCAAGCACAGATGTGTTCTGAGACATATATCATGAGACTTAAAAAAAAAAAAGAACCATTAAGCTAGTTTATACATGCAGGCGCATCACTTGTGTTCTTGTCACTTGTTTATACTTGATGACCTATGAAGTAAGAGTGAGTATCTAGGGAACATAGACAGTAATCTGGAGACAGGAAAACACAGTGCCCACAGCAATCATGTAAACATGTAGACATGTAAACTATGTCTCCAAAAACCATTTGGCAGCTCACAGCTCCACTGAGGAACTAAGAACATCCATTACTTGTCTTCATTAAGTTGTATCTGGACATGAAAGCAACTCATGCAAGTCACTGCATTTCTTCAGGCGGTAACATGCAGTCACAATATAATAAAATTATTGACATGATGAGGAAGGGGTTACAGAGGATACATAAGAGACTTGCACCTTTCCTTTGCATGCTTCCAGTGCACCACCCACAAAGATGACCCATGCACCTCATCTTGGGTGAGATTTGAGTGGTACATGCACCTCTGGAATGCATATGCATCACCAAAGGAGAAAAACATGTCACCCCTTTAGATGTTTCACTGGAGGTGTGACAGGAAGTTGTGCAGGTTCAGTGCACATCCCAAGGAGCCTCCAATGTTTTATACAGTTAGTCTTGCTCAGGGTGGACTCACTGAAGTTAATGGAATTGACTTAGTCATGCCCATTGCTTTGAATGGGTCTACCCTGAATATGACCCAAGCCACATTCAACTATTAATTCAATTCCCTGAAGCTGCTTCATGTTTATCTAATGCAAACTGCTTAGAGGCTATCTTACAACCAAGCAGTAAATCAATGTTGTTATATAAACAAACAAAATCTTGTTTGCTAACACAATGAAAACCATGGAATATGACAGCAGTATTGTGAAATGACCTGTCACAAAACCTAGCTCCATCAACGCACCCATGAATTAAATTAGGCAGTGTCTCATACCAATAACTTCTAAACTAATGTTCAAGAATGTTCAGATGAGAGTGATAGTACTGGGAATATCTAGATGGTGAATAGTTATGCATTTACATCAGATCCAAATGCAGGATAAGTGTCTGGTGGCTATCTGGAGCTTCAGAGGGTGTACAGCATATGCTTTGCATGCAAAAGCCCAGGTTCATTCCCCTGCATCTCCACATAGAATGGGAAAGACCTGCATCTGAAAACCTGGAGAGCTGTCACCAAATATTAGCGATACTGTGAGAGATGGGCCAGTGGTCTGACTTGATACAAGACCACTTTCTATGTTCTTTTGTAATTATTATTATTATTATTATTTATATCCCGCCCTCCCCAGCCAAGACCAGGCTCAGGGCGGTTAACAACTGGCTGTACCAGTTGTTGTGGTACAAAGTGGGAAATTGCCCTTTTGTCCACCTTGCAAATTTCCCAGATGCATTTACTGGATGTTGGACTAGATAGGATTTCAGCCTGATCCAGCAGGGCTCTTCTTGTCTT